TCTTCCCTGATGGACAATCACTGTTTGGAAAAGCTGATGACATGCTTTTGGATCTGGCCAATTTTAAAGATGAAAAGATTAGCGATACCATCACTGTTGGAGCTGACTGTACAGTCCCATTCAACGTAGCAAACTACATGGAAGCTCACAAGATTAAAACAGTAAGATTGTACCTACGATCCAAATTATTAACAACTGACAGCGATGATGATCTATACCATTCACCCTTTGATATCAGAGAGGTCATGCCACCTGTAGAGTTGAATGAGGGGAGCTCATTAATTGGCTCATCAGAAGACAGAAAAGCTCTAAAAGAGGAACAGGATGAAGCATATCGAGTCTCTTTACTAACCGATGAGAAGGGGTGTGCTGATCTGGAAAGAAAGATTCATGATGAAAAACGCAAAGAAAGACTTCAGAGAGCCAGAATGGAGAGGGTACTTCCTGAACCGAGTAGTGATTTTGTAACTGTGAAGATTAGACACCCATCTTTAGGTTTACAATCAAGAAAATTTCCAACCCACACATTGATGAATTCAGTTTACGATTGGGCAGGTTCTTTGGCTACTGAACCAGAACACTTCACACTAAATGATCCTTTAGGGAAAATGCTACTTCCAATTAGTGAACTTGACGACAGGTGTACATTGACTATGATTGAGTCTCAAGAGGGAACCCCTTCTCTGCTGTCTTCTGATGATGAAGTTGATTTCTTGGGGTTTGGTCCAGCAGTTGACACAAGTGAATTTAGTGAATGGTTTACAGAGTTTGATGAACCAGACATTCAAGGAAGTCGAGATGCACAATATTCAGTGTTTGTATCATGATTTCCTATTTTCTTATATAGTTTCTTTTTAGCACCTTTGTAGGCTTTAATAATGCGTGTAGGGAAACTGTGATGATTGTATCTTAGGACTTGTGGTTAATATGGACACCATAGGTCATGCTACCTTCAAGGAAGGTGGGTCTCTTTGAGTATTAAGATACCATAGCGTTCCTTTTTATGAAGGTGGTGTGATAGAAGACACAGAGGTCTCAAATTATTTTGCAAAATTGAGGATGCCATACACCTCAGGGTTATTTTAACTTCTTTGTTGTCATGCTCAGTAATATCAGGTAAATTTTGCTTTTAAAACAGCTGTTTTCAATGGCGTGTCTCTCTTTTTCTCTTAGTAGCCATGCATCTGCTAGGCAGGAAAATCTTCAACAAACCCAAGCACCATCTATCAGGTATTTATGATCGACATAATACTTATTATTATAGGTAGCATCCCAAAGCCATTTGTTTTATGTCACTATATTTGTATTTTGTAACAAATTGTGCAAGTGCTTCTGAATGAGTCCTGCATTACATGCAGGATAGATATAGAGAAAAGAGAGAAATATTATTAGAAATATTTTGCTCGTTCCACCTTCAGTTAACTATTATTTGACCTTTTTTTTGTTGTTGGGTACTCATCACTACAGTTTCTCACGTTTTCTTTGAAGCAGTGCATCTGCTATAAGTGACAGCTCTGCCCAACCACAACCACCCTCTATGTCTATCAAGTATTTGGAAACTTATGTTAATCTCATATCCATTGAATATCATTTACAACTACGGTTTATATTCTAAGTCTAGATTTGTAGCACATATGTTATCCTGTAATACAGCTATCATAACGTTCTGCATGAATTTTTTCTTTCAGTCCTTTTTGATTATTGATCACAAATTTTCCATGAGGTATTCGGAACAATATAAGTGAAACACACACACACACCCCAAGGTGTCCGCGTCATTATCAGTCTTTTATGAAAATGTCCTCAGATCCTATCCAGAGAGGAATAGCAATATTGTTGTTGTCGTTGTTTTTTTTGATTTACAAAATCTCAGGTATGCCCTGTCGGTGTAGACGCCCTTGGCTCGTGTGTAGAGCATTTTCACTTTTTTTCTTAGTTTGCGAGCCGGCGGATTTCTCCAAATGCTGTGACCTGATTTTGCTTCCGGGAGCAAGCGTTTTTTCCAATCTTCCTTGACACCACTGGGTGGAATCGTTCTGGCAGCCTCATTCAAAAGTTTGTTCATTGTTTGGGAAAGAGGAAAAGCCGTGATTTTAAAGCTTTTTTTCTTTAAAGTTGGGCGCTTATTGGGACCAGCTAGGAAAAAGTTTATTTTCCTAGCTAGACTAGTCTGCTCACATTTCAGTACATCAACACACAGAATATGGAGGGTCACGTAAAATTTTCGTACAACAAATGTAAAAACAAAAATGTTATGCACCTTCGCTTTGGGCTGTACTCAAGGACCTCTTGGCGCGTGAATAACATATAAACTATTTTTGCATTGTACAGGTTCATCAGAATTCGAAGGGTCCAGATAACGTCTGATATGATTGAAGTGTTCAAGGATCGATCGGTTATGGAAGCTCGACTTAAAGTAACAATGATCAATGCACATGGCCAAGAAGAAGCTGGTTCCGATGAAAATGGAGTGTACAGAGATGCACTATCAGCATTGTAGTCAGCATTTGAAAATTCATGCACTGTTGGAGAAGATGAATGAATACCGGTCATACGCCATTATTATCAGTGTCCGGAATGGGAGGCCATAGCTATAATCCTTGTAAAAGGATTTTATCAACTTAACTTTTTCCATGCTAAATTAAATCAAGCATTTATTATTCCACCCTTTTTGGGGAAAATGAAGTGTCACAGGAAGTGCTACTCAACTCGTTCTTATCTTATTTATCCAGGGATGAAAGGGCCTTGGTTGAGAATGCATTAAGGCACAGTTTGAACGATGAACAGAGTGAGGAGTGGCTTGATTTCTTAGATAGATTTGGGTGTAAGCGAGTACCCACGCCAGAACAAATCAGGGATACAATCCTAGAAATTGCTCACAAAGAGCAAATACAGGCTGGTCAGGACATTATCGATTGCTGGCATGTGCCATGCCGTAGTTTAAAAACAGTTATCTTCAACGTTAGTGAACTTGTTAATGTCCAAAGTAGAGCTATCCCAACAAACAAGAAAGTGATCGATCTCCTTGAAGTAATCCCAGAGCCGCAAAATAATGGCCAAAGGGAAGCAATTTCCTATTTTAAACGTTACCTGAGAGGTCTAGATACTGAAAGATTAAGGAAAGTTTTGTGTTTCCTTACAGGAGTTACCGTCATATGCGTGGACAAAATTAAGGTTACTTTCACTTCTCTTGATGGGATTTGAAAGGCGCCCGATTAAGTTCCTCATACATGTGCATCATTTTTAGAATTGCCCAGGGCAGACCTTTTACTGAACTTCTCAATACACAGGAATGACATGGACAGTGCATTGGGAGAGATGGACGTTGCTTAAGTTATATATCAGTATTTCGTTTAGTTACTATCATTGTTTCGTTTACCGTAGTTGCTCCAGTGTAAAGCATCTCTGATCTGTTGTTTGGCACCGTTAAAATTGGACACTTATCCTTTGTGTCAACGCTTTAAAAAACAGTGTTTTTCCCATTCCCCCTCTTATTGTCAGAGAAGAAAAGGCTACCACCATTGACAGTTCATTTTAGGAAGTGCAGTTGTTCCTGTTTTAAAATACATCAGTTGTAGTAGCCCTTATTTGGACAGTGTCACTTTCTTTCAGCGCTTTACATGCCATGTTATGGTTTTTTTTCTGAACTGTTGAATTGCGCATGTTGTGTTTATCACTTGATTATACTGTGGTACGTATATACTTTAGTGTGTCATTGTTAAAATCTGTATCCTAAAACTGTTAAATAGCATTTATTGTAATTTTAATTATCATTTTACAGTAGCAAATTGTGAGAGGTGGGGAGTGGGAACTACTACGGCCAATTTGGGATAGGTGTGTGCCACGAAGGTTTGTAACCTTCCCATTTTCTTTTCTCTTTTTTTTCTTATGAAGACAGTTAGGTTCAGAGATGTGACGTAAACTTAGTTGAATGGTTTCCAAAGTAGCTGAAGAAAAGTAATCCAGGAACAGGTCTTCAGAGCATCGTGAGTCCCATACTTTTCGGATACCTTATCTAGGGACAGCAATACCGAGAGGAATCCTGTTTTAAAGAACCGATAACCACTTTAAAATCATCCTTCATCCCATGGCAGTTACCTATTCATAGCCTAAATATAATAGTAGTTCCCTCCTCCTTCCCCTTCCTCACCTCGATCCATCTGGAAATTGATATTATTGACTTTGAGGTAATGTAGCTCAGTAATAACTTAACTTGTAAATTAGGTGTCTAAGTAGGTTTCCTTCCTAAACCTTAACAACCATTGTGTTTAAAAATACTTTGTCACAAATAAAGGACAGTTTATTTGATTCATAGGTTGTAGTGCACAGCATGAAAATGGAGATTTACGCAAAATTAAAGTTTGCGTAAACCTGCGTAAAGTTGGTCATCCAGCTTTACGCAAACTTTCCACGGCGCGTAAAGGTTTGTAAAGGTAAATTTACGCGCTCGGCTCTTAAAGGTTTCGTAAAGCTAGCATAAAGTTGTTGTAACAGCTTTACGCTCATTTACGCTACAAGTAAAGGTTTAGTAAGGTTGTCATATAATGCTAGCTTCCTAACAGGAATTTATTCCCGGCACTGTTTTTAGTAAGTCGTTTGTGTCCTGATACTAGTTCGCATAGTTTTTTTGATCACTCATTTGGTGTTCGATGTTGGTGTGCGATGTAAACAAGCCAACCACGCAAATTCTTTTTTGGTGGCGCGAACGACTTCGTACACGCTTAAAAATGACGCTGAAAGGAAAATTCTGCTGGCAGAGTTCATGCAAAGATATAGTTTGCGACTGTGCGGCAATTTTCGAAAAACGGCATATCTGTCGCGGCAAACACAATAGCCTTCAATACTCAGTAGTATTGCCTCATTGATTTCAGTCAGTATAAGGTGTTTCTTCCTTAACGGTCACGTCTCTACACGGGCCATTTTTGTTTTGTTTTTTTTTTTTTCGGCGGACGGTCCATACATGACATACATTCACTCTTAGCTCTAAACCCCTCTACTATGGCCACTTTCTTCGATATCCCTAAGGTGGCCGTTGTAGAGAGTTTCAACTGTAATTTGATCAAATTGAAATAATGGGAAAAATAAAGAAAAAATATCTCCTCGCAAAAACAGCGAGTTTTACTTAAAGAAAGAACGCATTACTTAAAGAGAACGAACGCACTGACAAATTACTCTGACTATTTTACATTCAACGGAGTACTGGCTTCATTGTTGAATCTCCTTTATCGGACTTCAGTTTTGGGAACGGACAATTTGGTAAAAGAAAGGGGCCTGGAAACAATAGAGTGAAGGGACACCTGGTCAGCGGGCTTGTTCCCTTGCACATGCTCAATCAGGTTCGTTGACTTGGCGTCCATTTTGAAAGTGTCCAACGGTTTCAAACTTGCTTCTTTGAAAGTTTGGAGATCGTTCATGTATTATGCTTCTTGATAGCATCACAGGACATCTTAAGGTTGTTACAATTTATAATGGCACTATCAGCCTTTAGTAATCGATCACTTCTCAAGTGTGCAGCAACCCTTTCGGGACGAGATACTCAGTCAGAAATGGAGACAGAAACATCGTGTGAAGCGCAAGCATTAACACTGGAATGCTCACAACACAGACCAAGACTGTATTACACGTATTACTAAGGCTCTTCGATACTCAAGATCTCGCTGAAAAGAGCAGATAGTAAGGCAAGGTAAGTTGTCCTGGCTCGCCTTTTCTCTAACTTTATAAGCATAAATCCAAACTTGTTTATGATGAGTTCGAATGACTGTGTCAAGTACTCAGTAACTAACATTTCAGCGAGCAATGAAAGCAGCATTAACCGTTTAAAGTAAATTATAACTAAACATGTGTATTTATTTGGCATAACCTTTCAATACTAGGCAAGCAACGAGACCATGACGATGAAGATGATAATGTAAAATCATGTAAGGACTTTGGGGGTCTGAAGAAGTAGAATTTCCTTGTTTTGTACTGGAAAACAGGAGTTTGGTCACTGGTACTGGGAATTACTAAAAGAAAATAATGGAATTAAGAAAGGACATCTGTATAAAGTAAGCTTACAATTAACATGTAATGTGATACAAACATTCTTTATGAAAATTTTCACAGACTATGGAAGAACTAATAAACAGAATAGAAAAGTGTTAACAAGTGTTGAATTTGCAAGTAGGCAAAGATAATCTACGCAGTCTGGTTTTATATTTTCATGCGTCAGTCAATAACAAACCCAAGCTTCCCAATTCCCCGGGCAGTCATAGCGAACAAATCCTCTCTGCAATCCAGGTCATAAGATTTAGTGGTGAATAATTTAACAGCGTGCATGTATTTTTTGAAGCAGGTACAAAAGTTTATTTTTGATTTTAAATTACGTAGGTTTTAACTTAAATGAACAGAGAATGAATAGACATTTTCATGAGTCTTTCAATGCATAGCTAATGCAGACCATGTTTGAATTAGAATGTATTTTCATGTAAGTGCCAACATAGTTGTTAACATCTTCACAGTTTCATACCTTCATCTGCAGTTCAAAGTATGATTCATTTCATATATTACCATTAATTTCAATCTTCATTGTGCACTGCTCCTATGAAATTATATTGTGGTTCTTGAGAAGATACAGTGCAGCACATACTGTCAGGAAATTGAATGCCTTACTTTTTGGGAAGCAAAGCACACAGTCATGTTAGAAACCAGAAATTGTTCTGTTTGCACCATAGTTGTATCGTCAGTAAATCTAGTTTTAAAGGAAAATAAAATTTAAAGAAACAAGTTGTGAAAGATAAGACTCTTAAGAGAGTCATAGCAGTCATAGCTGTTTTGGATTCTCTTGTCTACATACACCATTATTAATCTGCAAATACAACTGTCTCTCTTGTGAAATGTCCCTGGTGGCAAGGAAAGAAAATAGGCTGCTTTATTTACAGGGTACACTGTACATTATTATTAGGAGGCATTGTTTTCAAGATTGAGGATAAGGGCTTTAAATAGCAAAGTGGCTTCACTCCTGTTACATTAACTAGGAACCTTGAACGTTTCGTATTAAAAAGGAAAAAAATATATAAGGTTAAGTTTCAGGAAAATTTGAAACTTTTGGGAATAAGTTGCTTATATGTTTTTATATTTTTCCCTGAAAGTCTTTGGTGGAGCTCATGAGAAGGCTGTTTATTGATTTGGAACTTTAGTCCGGGACTGGTAGAAATTTAGTTCGGACATGTAAACCTTTGATATGACTTGTCCGTGGGACAAGCAAATTTTTAATTAGAAAAATAAAGATAAGAAACAGTTGCCTTAAATATTCCATTTAACTTTGCCATTCCACTGCCAGTCGTTTCATCCATTTGCTTTTGCTCCGTTGTAGGTTTAATTCAAAAATAATATACAAGGGTAATAATGTGATTAAATAATGTGATTAAAAACATTAAATGCCTGTTGCAAGCTAAACGTTTTGGACAAGAACTCCAGGTTTCGGACAACCAAATTTAATGTATTGCTTGTGTGAAGGACAAG